TTTGTGAATTATTGCAAATCATTGAACATCTTACCATCTAACTAAAGGGATTGGACAACCCCCCACCCCACCCCTTTTATTTATTTATTTAATTGTATTTTTCTGTGTGTGTTTGTGTGCGTATGTGTGTGTGTGTGTGAGTTATTTATTTGACCACTACAAATGAAAGATATTTGGTACTGTATGTAAAAAAAAAAAACATAAAAAATGGAACAGATTCTATACTATTTGTAAATTACATTATGTTTTTCTTCCACAATAAATACATTTAAAAATAAATTTAAAAAAAGGCCAAATAAGGAATTCGAACAAAAAAAAAAGTAGTTTTCTGTTTAGTTTTATTCTTGGATCGGGCTTTAAAGGGTTAACAGACGAGTTTAAATGTGAGTAGTGGCTGTTTGGGGCCGTTTGAGTGGCTGGATCTGCCTGTGGATCGTTCTGGAAAGATGAGGGCCGGAGCTCATGCCAGGGAGCAGATTGGTGGGACTTCAGTTGAACGGTTTTACCTCTCTGACTGGCACCCCAGCTGTCGATGCCACCGCCATCAATCCAAAACCCATAATTACTTCTCCAATGGGCACACAGCCTCTCCAGGTCCCCCCCCCCCTCCTTGCCGGGGCTGGGGGGGTGCGCCTCCTTTTGAGGAGCAAGTCCTCCGTAACTGTCGAACTTTAAGCTACAGTATTTTCCACACTATAAGGCGCACCTTCAGTGAACGACCTATTTTAAAACTTTGTCCATAAATAAGGCACACTGCATTATAAGGCGCATACAATAGACGCTACAGTAGAGGCGCACTGGAATATAAGGCGCACTGTCGGCTTTTGAGACAATTTGAGTTTTTTAGGTGCGCCTTATAGTGCGGAAAATACTGTAAATGCTACTTGCCAACATTTCTATTAGCATCAAACAGTTAAGGATCAAAGAGGAGGATCCTTTAAAGCAGGATCAAAGGGTCTTAAACAGATGTTTGATGGAGCTAAGACCAAGATCCACAAAAAAAAAAGCCAAAAGTTCTGCTTCAGAGGACGACTTCAGAGTTCTAAAATCCTCAAATAATCCAGAATAATACAGAATACAGAATACAATAATACAGAAAAAAACATAAAACAGCATAAAAAAAGCATAAAGAGACAGAAATAAGCAGAAAACAACAGAAAAGGGCAGAAAAGGGTAGAAAAAGAGCAGAAAAACTTCAGAAAGAGACAGAAAACAGCCCAGAACGGCCTAAAAACAGTGTGTAAATGTCCCTTGTTCTTGGGCATTCAGTACTAAGATCCTCAAATAATCCAGAATAACACAGAATACACAATACAATAATACACAAAAAGGCAGAAAACCGCAGAAAAACAGCATAAAGAGACAGAAAGAGGCAGAAAAAGAGCAGAAAAAAGCAGTAAAAGGCAGAAAAACATCAGAAAGAGCCAGAAAAACTGTAGAAAAACAACAGAAAGGGACTGAAAAGAAGCCTTACCTTTGCTTTCCTGCTGCCAAAGCTGACAGAAACCAAACCAAAACTGTTAGAATCGGAGACTTTAGGGCTTAACCCCCCCCCCTTTGGCCCCGGGCTCAGCCAGGGCTGGGGTTGATGTGTGATTTTTCCGCAGAACGGCGTGCCCCTGCAGGCCTTCGTGGCCCGGGCGGACGGCGAGGTCGTGGGCGTCGTCGTCATCCGGGACGAGCAGGTAAATCCTCCATGAAAGACTCAAATATGACGTCCACCATTAAAGCAAACATCACCAGCAGACATCTGAGATAAGTGGTGTTCAAGGCTTTCCAGGCCAAGGACCCTCAAACTGATCCCCCTAATTATATACAGTATATTGTCTGAAATTGTGTTCTATCAAACTGGTCCTATAGTGTGTAAATGTACCTTTTTATTGGGCATTCAGGACTAAGATCCTCAAATAATCCAGAATACAATAATACAGAAAAGGCAGCAAAAAAAACAGAAAAATGCAAAATGGCAGAAAACAGCAGAAGAACAGCAGAAAAACGTCAGAAAGAGATAGAAAACAGCCTAAAAACGGCTTAAAAACAGTGTGTAAAAGTACCTTGTTTTTGGGCATTCAGTACTAAGATCCTCAGATAATCCAGAATACAGAATACAATAATACAGAAAAAGGCACAAAAAAGCACAAAAAAAACACAGCAGACATCTGAGATAAGGGGTCTTCAAGGTTTTCCAGGCCAAGGACCCCCAAACTGATCCCCCTAATTATGTATATTGTCTGAAATTGTGTTATATCAAACTGGTCCTATAGTGTGTAAATGTACCTTGTTATTGGGCATTCAGTACTAAGGTACTCAAATAATCCAGAATACAATAATACAGAAAAGGCAGAAAACAGCACAAAAAAACAGAAAAAGGCAGAAAACAGCAGAACAGCAAAAAACTGCAGAAAAAGGCAGAAAAACATCAGAAAGAGCCAGAAAAACTGTAGAAAAACAACAGAAAGAGACAGAAAAAAGGCAGAAAACAGCTTAAAAACAGTGTGTAACTGATCCCACTAATTATGTATATTGTCTGAAATTGTGTCCTATCAAACTGGTCCTACAGTGTGTAAATGTACCTTGTTATTGGGGATTCAGTACTAAGATCCTCAGATAATACAGAATACAGAATACAATAATACAGAAAAGGCAGAAAACAGCAGAAAAGGGCAGAAAAATAAAAACTTAATTTATTCAACCGATAAGAAAAAGCTCTGAGCTGTGAGATATTTAAAAAAGTGATGATGGCTGGAAACAGGAGAGTAGAAAAAGAAAACAAACAGGGGGACTGAGGGCAGCTTCTGAGCCAAGATGATAACAAAACAAACCATGAGCTGGAAAAAACCCACAAACACTAACAGTAACTTGGCAACACACATGCAAATGAAGAATCCCAGATAGCAACAGGGGCCTTCTCTCCCACACAACTACAAAAAACTCATATTTAATTGTTTCATTTCTTTTCCAGCCCAGATTTTTCAGGATATCAACACATAGAAGAATGTGAGAAACACAAGAGGCCAATCTCAGATTAGTAAATTAATTTAAAATGATTCCATGTGTTAAGACTTACACTTACACCTATTATTATTATTATTATTATTATTATTATTATTATTATTATTATTA